CCCCAAAACCCCAAAACCCCAAAACCCCAAAACCCCAAAACCCCATCCTTAAGAATAATTGTTAGAATAAGAATCTACAATAAAATGTTTAAATCAACTTAGCATTACAATGGGAATTCATACAAATAGAAATAGACAAATTAAAGAGAAGATTACAAAAATGCTTTGAAGCAGGCACTGGTTGATAAATTTTCTATTGATCTTTAAAGTCAATCTTCTTAGGGTGCTGTGAATCTGAAAAGCATTTCTACAGTGAGTACAAGAAATACTCCTATTGAATCCAGCAAAGATGAGGATGAAAATGAAGAGGTTCTTAGACGACATCTTCAAGAAATTGTGAATAGAAACAAGGCAAGTTCTAAAACTGGAGTTCATAGTGCTAATACTGGAAGTAGCAGTGGGAAAAATATAACCACTGTTTCTCTTAAAGGATTGAAAGTTCTACAAAAAGTTAAGACTACTAAAGTAAGGGAATCATTTTCAAAAGACTTAGACATAGGAAGTCAAAAACTCAACAGTAGGATTGAGAACTACTCTAAAGCAATACCCAAGAAATCAAAAGAAATATGTGATTCCACAGATGAGCGAAATATCAATAGTGCGATGAGAGACTATGATATTATAAGGATTCCCTCAGGCAGAAGAAACAAAAACAAATCAACAACTAATAACAGAAAATCTTCAATTTAGAAGAATGAAAACAGACCCTTTTTGATTTCCTAATAGAAATCTCCTCCTTACATTAATTTACCACCTTTACCTCATGCCATGAAAAGAGATGAATCTGGATAGATTGATTTTCCTTAAAACAATTAATATTTGGCAAAAAACATTTTGGAGCACCGAAAATCCATATCTAAAACCCTTAGTATCGATGAGTAACTTAGGGGTCGTTCGCAGAAGTATAGAAATTCAGAAATCGCTGTAACTGAGCCAAGTCTTAAACCAGAGAGAGTTTAGCTCCTTAAAAGTAGCAATCAAAACTAAAGGGGAATGCAAAAGTAGTTATCTTGCGAAAGTTTGAAATTAGGTCAGTTGAGAGATTCGTCTTAAAATCCACCTTAACAACATTCTACTAAATAACGAGTTAAGAAGTTATAATCTCTAAACAACGTTACGAGCTGTCTTGAAAATGATCCTGATATTGATGTTCAGCATTTCAGTTAGGAATTACAAGAGATAATGAACTACAACTAAATAAAATTTGAAAACGAAAAGCCTCTTGTTTCAACTCAGAATAATAACTTGCTGGTCTATGGCTTTGGAACAAATTCATCAAGAGGAAATACTAGGGATTATAATGAAGATCGATTTATTGTAAAAGAGAATGCTTCGATGCCAGACAAATGCAGTGCTATCTAATCTTGGAAAAAGATAAATTTATATGCAGTGCTTGATGGGCATGGAGGAGATTAATGTGTGGACTATGTCAAAGAACATCTCTTTAAAGAGATAACTAAAGATTAAAATTTTACTGAAGGTAACTTCAAGCAATCTCTAAGCCAAGCTTGCAATAGAATAGAAAAAAATTTCTTTGAAAAAATAGAAAATGCATTCAATGAGGAAAAGGAGTCAGATTATGATGCTAAAATCGACAAGAGTGGGACTTGTGCCACCATATTGATGTTCATTAATAGAGTTTGTTACATCGGTTAGATTGGAGATGGTAGATGTGTTGTAAGTAAAGACTTATCTTAGAATATAATGCAAGTCACTAGGGATCATAAACCAAACGATCCAATTGAGAAAGAAAGAATAGTTTCTAACGGAGGAAGTGTGTATTCGTAAGATTCATTTTTAAATTATATTAGGAGATAAACTGATAATTGTGGGTAAAATTACGATTATCAGGATTAAAGTGAAATTTACAGAGTTATCCCAGGAAGATTATCAGTAGCTAGAACCATAGGGGATATAGAATCTAAGATTGCCAAATACGGGGGTAAATCAGGGGTTATAGTTTCCTAACCTGATGTGCATTCTCTAAAGATAAATGATAACTTCGATTTCATGATTATCGGATGTAAATAACACTCTATATTTTGATAAATTTTTAGGTGATGGAATTTTCGATTCTCTTGACAATGACTATTTAGTTCGTTTAGTTTGGACTTATGTGCGTGAATGCAAATTGATCAGATATCAACAGAAGGGCAACCAATTTCATCTCATTAATATACATCAACTGAGTGGTTAAATTGCAGAGTTGATCATCCGAGCTGCTGCTTTTCATGGAAGCACTGATAATCTCACAGTTATTTTCATAGCATTCAAGGGACTTTAGGATTACTTGATAGATCATAACATTGAGAAGTGAGAGATAAACTCAAGATACTTTATCATTATTTTTGTTTGATTACTAATTAATATACTGTTTTAAATTACACTCTATAGATTCATTTGGGGTTTTGGGGTTTTGGGGTTTTGGGG